TATATATATATATTAAAATTTAACCAATTTTCTGAAAATTGCTCATTGAACAGTTGATAGATAACACACAATTTCTCTAATTTAAACAAATTTCGTAAAAAATGTTTATTCATTATGGTCTAATCTCTAATCATTAACTTAAGAGAACGGATTTATAGTCCAATTTTAGTTTTATCTTTCTCCACTTAATTTTCGCAGCTATATGTACTTCCTCATCTATACTAGGATTTCCAAAAACTTTTTTATTTAATTGTATGTAGAGATTACAAAAATAAAGATCCTCTTCAGAGAGAGAGACTGTAAATATGTTTATATTTCCAGCTCTTTTGTATAATTTAAAAATACGACTTTTTTAAAATTTGATTTCTCAGAAACTATTCGACTGATTTTGGTCAAATTTTCAATTTTGTCTTGTAAAATTGCATTCTTTAAAATTATGTTTAAAATCATATACCTTACTATCCTAAAGTTTTACCGACTATTATTAAGTAAAATAATAAAAAATAAGGAATATTTACTGAAAGTTTTGCATGGAATTATCTTTGGACAAACGAGTTTCTTAATTGTGTGTAAAAATGTTTCAAATTGCTTTAAAAGTTCTGGATACATGGTGAAATACGCAAAAAGTAAAATTAACATGAAGGGGTTCAGACGCTCTCCTGACCATACTATGGGGACCATATTTTCCAGATTGTGGCTACCCCATATGTTTTGGGGATCAAAAATCCAAATCGGTTGAAAAGTAAGGTATGTTCATTCAGAGAAAGTATATTTTTGCGTCAGATTTCGCAATTTAGGATATTGTCTGCATTAATTAATTCTCATATTTGAGGTCACCCTCTCAAACCATTAAGGTTGAGTCCTAGGACGTGAAGATTCGATTAATAGATGCAAAGTTATTTAGGGTAGTGCGTTTTTTTTTCCTCCTTTTTTTCTTCTTTTGAGCATTAACTTCTAGTTAAGCAGGTTTGGCAAAATTCAAGATTTATTTTTATAAAATAAAAAAAATCGGATTTATTTGATTTAGATCAATTTTTTAAAATTTAAATCAGATTTGTTTGATTCCTTTATATTTAGTAGCCAAATCACCCTATAAAATATATTAACAACTCTTAATATTATTTAAAAAACAATAATATGGGTAAAATAGTTGATGTTTCTATCTAAAAAATTAAAAAAAATTATTTTTTTGAACATTACAAGTTATTTACTGAATAATTAAAATCACGGTCATTTTTGTTTAAGCTAAAAATCCTGAAGTTTGAAAAGACTGGTGAGCAAATTTGCCAGTCAGATATCTAACGTTGAGTAAATTATTTGAGATCAGAAATAATTAAAGAAAAAAAGATAGTGTATGTTTCTCTGGGCAGAGCACGTCTTTCTTATTACACTTGAAACACTAACTACGTATTTAATATGTTTTAAATGCACTTAAAGTATTCAAATAAGCACATAGCTGCCAACTCTTTCAGTTTTCTCGGAAGATTTTATTTTCATATTTAAAGTGCTAGCGAAATTCATGTTATTTCACTAAAATTTTTGAATTATAATAATAATTTTAAATCAGTTTGACCACCACTACATATAAATAATTACGACAAATATATAAAAGCATATTAATCGTTGCAATAGCGAATTTCAACATAATTAAAATATAAATATATTTTTGAGGACGATAGTTTTTCGGTAATTGTTTTACTACCACTTGGAAAATCTATTCTCGAAAAGAGTGAATGTTGTCAGGTATGTAAGCATAATGATTTTCTTAAAAGAACCATAGTTCATTTAAATCAATGAATTTTTTAAAAAATCAAGTGTTTAAATCGCTATCTTATTTAGGATGAATATGAAAAGATTTAAATCAAATAATTTAATCAAATATTTTCATTAAGTGATTGATCAAGCAATGTGATTTGATTATTGGGATTTAATGAAGTATTTTCATTACGCATAATTTAATCAAGTGATTTAAACCATGCCAATTCTGATGTTAAGTGAAGGAAAAATTTCCTGGGTGAATTTTATTTATTCAATAACTTATAAACATTTTTTGAATATTTTTAGCTTTATTTTATTCCATGACGTGTTTTCTATTAAATCTAGGAACCAATGATTTTTGTTAAATATTTTATTTTATATTTTTCATTTTTTTTCACTAAAATGTGCTATAATGAACCCATTTATAAAATTTGAAATTTTAAGATAGTAATTATTTAATCTTACAATCTACACTTTAACATTGCGAAACCTCTTACAACTTCATAATTCAAAGTTCAAGTTTTAAGTTCTGAAGGTGACTATGACACAAATTTTTCTTTAACCCCTTGGGGACGGGTGATTCAGAAAAGCATTCGTACAAAATCAGAATCAAGTTGCAATTAAATAAAAAACGGTAACTTAAATGTAGTCGTTACTAATTTGACAGACTTACTTTGCTTTTATTTTAATTATTGTTAGTTTAATCATATATATAATCAATGTTAATTCAAAGTATAACTAAATAGTTTTATTTTGAACAAAGTAATGGTGAATTAAATAAATCAAAAAATTATAACTCCGCCCACAAATAAACTGCTAAAGAAATACTTTGATTACCAGTTTTTTCTTCTTACCCTGATTGATACGGTTTTTTGCTGTCACGTATTTGTGACAGTCGGCGCGAAAGGGTTAACGTAGGAAGGTCATAATTCATTTAGATTTCTAATTTAAAATGTTCACTTTCCAATAGAAATGGGACATTTAATTTTACTTTTTGGTTATATTTCAGTTGCAGGTAAACTGGTATATATGTTCTTTCCGTCAAAAAATATTCAATATTTAATTAAATATAATAAATACAGTAAAGTATTCAATATTTAACATCTATCATCCGACAAAAAATTCCTTATAAACTGCAAAACTATATTTAAATGCAATAGAATTCAGAAAAAAAAACTTTTATTTGCATAGGAGGGTTGACGACTAGCTTCTTTTTGCTGAGAAAAAAAAATTGTTTTAGAATCGCCTAAATTTCCTAGCATGATGTTTAAATCATCCCTAATAATCGATGTTTTATATGTTAACTCTAAAGTGCAGAACTCAGTTATTCTGCAGATTATCTAGGAAATGTGCTGATCAACTTGGGTGATCAGTTGTGCCGAAAATTATTTCCTTTTTAAAATTATCTAGGTAATCCGCATATTATCGTTACATTTAAAATAGGATCTTTTATGTGACAGAAACAGCGTTTCTGTACGCTTAAATAAACATAAGTTCATTAATTAATTTTTAGAAAATAATCAATGAGCCAAGTTAATGCAATCAACCAACAAATTAGATCAATTATGAATCAATTAAATGTCTGTAATACAAAGAATCAAGCGGTTATAAGTATTATTACAATTAAATGAAAATTATGAGAATTAAAATAAAAATATTATTAATAGAAAATAACGAAGCAAACTTTTGATTTTTAACGATACGGAAGTCTTTAATGCGCACATAACCTAGGTAAAATGCGGAAAACTCCAAACTTTAGATCTTTCGAAATCAGTTAATCTACAGATTAGTACATGGATATAAACGATTTTCGAGCCTTAGTGTATCATAGATATTTCAAAAGAATTTTGCTGACTTGTTATATAAAACAATATCTGGTAACCAAATCTGCTCAGCAGGGACACGTAGCTTAACCTGCAGATTAACTGGGTATGTCGACATTAGCAGTTTTCGAGCTTTTGAGGTAACATATATATACATTAAATATATTTCGTTTGCTTGTTATACAAAAAAATAACTGGTAACCAAATCTGTTCAGCAGGTATACAAAGCTTAATCTACAGATCAACTGGGTACGTCGACATTAACAATTTTCAAGTTTTGCGGTAACATATATATTTCAAACATATACTGCTTACTTGTTATATAAAACGATATCTGGTAACCAAATCTGCTCAGCAGGGACATGTAGTTTGGACACACCTCCATATTCCTCAGGTTCCCATCTCAATTTATAATCATTCCATTCCTATTAATAAAAAGATTAAATTAAATAAAAAATAATGAGCAATTAATAATGAGATGGAAAGAATTTTTAAAATATTGTTTCAATGCGGAAAATATATATGTTTTTAGTGAAGTTTAACAGATGACGCCCGGTGGCTGAGCGGTAGCGCTTTGCGCTGTCGTGCCACAGGTTCCTGGTTCGATCCTCGAGCCGGGCAAGGTTGACTCAGACTTTCATCCCTTCAGTGGGTCGATAAATGAGTACCAAGCATGCTTGGGAACTGAACACTGGGGGTTTCGCGTTCAGCTGACCACCTAACCGGAACATCTGCTCCTGCACCCCAGAGCCCAAAGGTCAAGAAAACTGAGATGGGCACAGTAGGCCTTGGCCCTCTATGGGCTGTCGCGCCACTGAGTTTAGAAGTTTAACAGATGGCCTTTATATAAAAGGGCTAATACTCATCTGGAAGGAATTAAGAAGTGGTAGTAATATTAATATTTCTTTTATATTATTCTGCTTGAAGCTACCAGAATATGTTATTTCCTCTGTATAGATCCGAAGGTGGCAGAGATAAATTTTCATTTCGATAGTGGAAACTAATATTAAGAAACTTTCAGCTTTTTTATAACAAAATTGATACCAGTTATACATTTTTTAGGTGTGTACTAACCCTGTTTAAATGATTGATGCTGTTATATATGATTTCTGGTTAAACTTCTTTGTAGTAGTAGCTTTAAAATAATTGATTTCACAATTGTAAGTATGGATTATTTTAACTACATAAACACTTTATATATTTTAAACATAGTGTTAGGATTTTCTTAATTCATTTAAGTTATTTATATAGTTATGGGTGAAATTTTTAAAAATCAACTTCATTAAAAAAAGAAGAAAATAGAAACGTACATATTTTGTTATTATTTCAAAAATAAAAATAAAATCTACTGTGAAAATCAGAAGCACCAATCAGTTTAACATTTGTAAAATGGAAGCTATAAACAATTGAACTAGAACGCCATTGAATTAAATTGAAGAAAATTCTTCTATCTTTCGTGCATTTAGAGTTGGATGTGTTATGCTATGTTGGTGTAAGGCTGTAGTGGCTCCAATTTTTGGCGTAAATTCTACTACTTGACGGTAAAATGGTAAAAAAAAATATTCGTATTATTTTTTTCCAACTTTTCTAACATGCAAAAAATGTGGCGAAAAAAAATATCTTTATTACAGATTGATTGTTGGATTTAAATAGACTTTTTTTGAAAAAAGTAAGTGTAAATTGTAAAGATTTACAAAATAAAATCATGATAAAATAAACATACCCGCTTAGAATTTCTTATAAACAAACATTTTTAAAAGTTCAGTTTGTTTAACTGTGTACAAAATAAAAATGTAGAACTAGATATATTTAATTCTTTATGCTCATTAAATAGCCTGTACTCAATTAATTCGGATTTTTAATTTTTAGTTTCTTTAATAAAGAATAGAATGAGCGAAGAAACAGAGATTGAACGAAAACGGACCACTATAACGACATATAAAAGACAGGTAGCTCAGAAAATGTTTTATTTGTTTTAATGCATAACACGACAAACATCTAAAAGAAACACTCTTTCAAAAACTTCTTCATAAATATTTCAAACTGAAATTTGCACCTTTGCCTTTGACAATTTTCCATACTACACATCAACAAAATATTATCTTGCTTTTAATAATCTTTAACCTTAAAACCCTGCCAAAAAATGTCAATTATTAAAGAACATAATAAGTAATTATGAATATGCATATGCTTCTAAGCTTGTAATTGTTACAATGAATAAAGCTCGAAAACTCATCTGAATTTAAAGACACTTCATGTAATAGAAGTATTAAAAATTCATTTTTGTCTTAGAGGAAAGATTTTAAGCATAAATACATATAACATATTTCCTTGTTGTTGGCGAAGCCTGAACGATTTTGAACATTATTCACTTCTTTTTTTTTTCTTATGCCATTCAATTCTTTAAAACATTGTATTTTTTCCACGAAAGGCAGAACAGTTTTAAAAGAGAATGATCATTAAATTTTTTATGACGAATTATTATTTCTCTAAAAACCAAGATTTATACATTAAAACACAATATGCGTTTACCAGAAAAGTGTTTTCAACGACCGTACCAGATAAGCTATATACCTTTATAATGATATTTGGTACAAAGATTAATAATCACATAATAATAATCAGGAATATGCAAGAGTGGTTCTAGTTTTATTTCAAATTTATCAGTAGCAGTGGAAATACCCTAATAATCGGAAGAACTTGAGTGTTAAAACCAAACGATTAGCGACTTGGAGGTAATGAGCTCTAAACCATCGCCTCCTACATCAGAAAGCCTCCACACGGTTTCTTATGAGTAGTCTGCGCAGATTATTTAAAAAGCGAACCACTTGTGCGCATGAGCGCAAATTCTATTGTAAAAGTACTTGAGAGAAATTTATTATATATATTTGAGAATTGAATCTGTAGTGATTGACAAGTAGATAAAACAAACCAATTATATTCATAAATTAACAAAAAAAATTAGACACATATTTGCTACCACTTTCTAATTTTTAATAGATTTCATATTAAATGGTTCTTTCACTAATTGGTTTACTTTCATAGTGGTCTGATCGGATTACCTACAAAAAAACCGTGTGGAGGCTTTCAGTTATAGGAGGCGTTGTGTAATCCCACCAAAAACTACTATTATCTTAACTTTTTTTCTGTTCTTGTATAGGTATCTAGTTAAATTGTATTAAGTTATCACCTCCTACATCAGAAAGCCTCCACACCGTTTCTTAAAAGTAGTTTGCGCGGACTATTTAAAAAGTGAACCAGTTAAGCGCATGAACCCAAATTCTTTTTTAAAAGTAATTGAGAGCAATTTATCATATATATTTGAGAATTAAATTTGTGGTGGTTGACAAGTTAATAAGACAAACCAATCATAAATCAAAAAAATTTTTTAAAGATATGTTTGCTACCACTTTCTTAATTTTACTAGATTTTGTATTAAATGGCTCTTTCGTAAAATAGTATACGTTCATAATAGATTGGTCAGACTACCCATAAGAAACCTGCAGTTGTAAAAAATTTAATACATTAGTTTCTTCGGACCACAAATGTTGAAACTATCTAAAAAGCTCTTTTAGAACAAATAGTTGTTACAGAAGTGTATCGTGCTTGGGAATAATTTTCCAGTAAAAAGATAGTATTCTCTAGCATATAACAATGATAATATAAGTATTTATGTGTGAATCTGAAATTTATATCTAAATATGTATATATTCCGGGAAAACAAGTCCCGATGAACTCTTAAGTCAGATGCAAAAAGTGAACTATTATTTTTTAAAACTCGTTCAAAAACTAGGTCAAGGGAATTCTCCGGTCCTCACTTTTGGCTGTTATTATTATTACCAAATAGAACTGTATTCACAAAAACAGTTACTAATATAACGCTTGTATTTCCCAAATTTAATTTTTCGTAAAAAAAGAGCTGTACTTCTTGAAGTGCTCTAATCAGTCATATGTTAAATAATGAAATACATATTCTGTTTATTATAAATATTCTATCAACTGTATTTTGGCAATTAATTATCAATATCCTATAATTATCCATGTATGAAAAATGTAAACATTGTAAAAGAAGACTATTATACTGAATGTTCGTTTTATGCAATGAAAATAATTTATCAACATTTTCGAAGTATTTTAAATGTTTCAAATACTCATCTAATATAGGCCTGAATGGTTGCCTAACTATTTAATTTGAAACTTTTTAAGGTTTGGAGCATTACCTCCTAAATCAGAAAGCCTCCACACGGTTTTTTAAAGTAGTCAGCGCAGACTATTTAAAAAGTGAACCTGTTGTGCGCATGAATCCAAATTCTTTAGTTAAAGCAGACCTGCCAACTTTTAATCCCTTCCATTATCATTTTTCCCAGTGGTATTAAAATGGAATTAAAACTTCAATTTTAAGCAAACAAATACGTTGTGTTTGCATACCCTCCAACTGCTACGGAATTTCCGTAGTTTCAGAAATCTTCTTTTCAGACGGTAGCAAAATTAATGTCTTTATATTTTCAAAAAANCTGTCAAATTAGTAACGACTACATTTAAGTTACCGTTTTTTATTTAATTGCAACTTGATTCTGATTTTACGAATGCTTTTCTGAATCACCCGTCCCCAAGGGGTTAAGTCAGATGCAAAAAGAGAACTATTATTTTTTAAAACTAGGTCAAGGGAATTCTCCGGTCTTCTCTTTTGGCTGTTATTATTATTACCAAATAGAACTGTATTCACAAAAACAGTTACTAAAATAACGCTTGTATTTCCCAAATTTACTTTTTCGTAAAAAAGAGCTGTACTTTTGAAGGCCTCTAATCAGTCATAGGTTAAACGATGAAATACATATTCTGTTTATTATAAATTTTTAATCAACTGTATTTAGGCAATTAATTATCAATATCTATTAATTATCCATGTATGAAAAATTTAAACATTGTAAGGGAAGACTTTTAATAATATTAAGCTATTATACTGAATGTTCGTTTTATGTAATGAAAATAATGTATCAACATTTTCGAAGTATTTAAAATGTTCCAAATACTAACAAATACTAATACTAATCTAATATAGGCCTGAATGGTTGCTTAACCATTTCATTTGAAACTTATTAAGGGTTGGAGTAAATCCAATCTTAACTATTAACTTTTTATTACAATTTACTTTTTATTCGGAAAAAAGTCTTACATTTATCTGAAAACTTCTGGTGATCATGGATAAAATGGACAAATGGAAAAATCTTGGCGATCATGGATATTTTATTCTTTTCGCAAACAAGTTACAATTTAGTCTTTCTTACTAATTTATTCTCATTTCTGTCTTGATATTGTAAGTCCTGATCTAATAACGTAAACATTTTTAGTGTGCATACCTGCACACTTGCAAGGTCATTGATAAAGATTACTCAAAGTGGTAGTAAAACAGCAATTAAATTTCTAACAATGAAGCTTTTAAAAACATAACTATTAAGAAATCTATAATCATAATCAACAAACAAATAAATCTTATCTATATTTGTTTCTTCAAAATTATGGATTCGTCTTGGTAGTTCATAAATTTCTTTTGAAACTTTAAATGTCAAGATTTAATAATCCAAAATGCTAATGCTACCACTATAATAACTATTTCTCAACGGCGATTTTTTAAATTATGGGTTCATCGTGGTTGTTCTCAAATTTCTTTTGAAACTTTAAACTTCAAGATTTAATAAGCCAAAACGCTAATGTTGCTACCACTAAGAAAATAATTTCTCATCGACCGAATAAGTTGGCAGATTTGAGGGTGTTAAAAGAAGTTGTCGGTACGTTGCATTAATTAAATTATGTGTTGATCTGATATTTCTTTTTTGATTCAAATTTTTTATTCCTTAACCAGTAAGTGTCGGCATGAAACGTTATCAATCCGGGTAAAAAGATATATCTGCTAACCAGACTCATTCTTTAGCATTAAATACATAAGCTCAAGAAATTGAATCTGTAAGACAACGACATTAGTTCCACACCACCTCTCCCGGCTACCTTAGTTTTTCTAGTTTTAATGATCATCGTTACTTTTCTTATTTTTCGTTGGGAACATGTTTTATATCTCAAACCACTTTTGTTTCTTCTCATTCACATCTAGTATGTCTTGAAAATGGGAGCCTATTTTTGAAGCATTTGATTGGCTGTTACGTCTGACTTTTAGTTTTGAATGAAGTTTATAATCAGGTAATATTTTAGCAGTTTAGTTGTGGTATGGGTCACAATAGTTTAATTTACGTTACACATTTTAAGTACGGTCGCTTAAAAATACGTTCTTGAAATTTCTGCGATCCATATTAAAGTCTAAAAAGGGGTAAAAGTTTAAAAGTAGTCCGATTTTCAAAGAAATTAACCATTGGTGATTACTACAACCCTAAATGATTCAGTATATATGTAGTGAGTACTACAATCGATCATCGTGTTTTTTTTAAAAAATTGAAGTCGTAGCTATCGGGACAAGTTTGCTCAAACTTTTACAAATCTTGCCTATCACTTTCTTAAAATTTTAATTTATTACAGCTGTAATACATTTTTCGGAAAAGTTGCCCGCATGTAAGGTGTTAATTCAAAATTAAAATTATATATTTACACTTTAGAATTAACATTGATTAAAGTGAATGCAAAATAAGTCAATCAAATTATCCATTAGCGAAAGTACTAATGAGCGAAAAGATTATCATTAGCGAAAGGGTTAAAGCTCATTTTAGAATTACTTTTCGTACTAAAGTTTAAATCCTTAACATAGGAACCAATTAATTTTTCTAAAACAATTTTTTATTAGTTAATTTAATAAATTAATTAAATTATTATTAATCTCTATTAAGTTTAGACGTTATCAATAATTTATTCACTTTAACTTATCAATTTTTAGATTAAACCCTTTCTTTCTTTGGTGCTTTTATCATGTCTTTATCGTGCTAAATGGCTATTTTTATTAGAGGTTTTTTTAATCATAAATAATATCTGGTATATAGATCACATTAGAGTTTTTTTTTTCTCTGTCGCACGAGATTTTCGAAAGCATCTTAAGATATTTTCATGCCACTGATTTCAAAACTGCGATCTTTTTCTCTCTAAGAGATACAGTTTTTATACAACTAAATATTATGTTCATAGTTTTTAGTCGAGTGAATATTAAGCCTCTCCACTTCTCTGCTACGTAAGACGTGGTAGGGAGAAGGCGATCAACATTTCAGTTTATGATATTGTAGGCTAAGGTTATATATTTTTTTCTTGTCTTTAATGTTACTTTCAGAGGGAACAGACAATTGTATAAAATTATAGCCTCTTTAAATATTTGGCCATTCAGACAGTTTGAACTAAACCAAAAATGTGATTTTGAAAAAAAATCTGTAACTTTCCGAAAAAAACTAACATTAGAATTAAAATCCCCACACCCGAATTGGGTAAAATCAAACAGTTTTATAAATGCTTCAAAAATTTGTTCCCCTGTTTATTAGTTTCTTTTCTTCTAGAAGCAGTATTTTATTCTATTTTTTGCGCAAATTCTGTTATTATAAATTGTGAAGTTTTAATTCCATTTTAGCAGATAAGCATGTAATATATGTATTAGATTAATAAAATGGTATTATATTGTTAAACAATTTTGTTGAAAATGAAAAAAAAAAACCAATTGAAGCAAGGCTACATTTAAAAATGGTTATAGAATCTTTACATAGGTATTTTCAAGTAAATAAAAGTAATTATTTAAAACGATTCTTTCTTAACATACAAATAGCAATTACTTTGTTCATAGAGATTCTTACAATCATTTAATCGTTTTACGAATTAAATAATGCATACTTTATAATCAGGCCTGAAAGTGGGACGGAAAAGAGAAAATGCTGGTAAAAGATAATATTCGAGAGGAATTAATCTATTCTCAACAGCAACAATTCACTGTAAAGAAAAATTACACGGCGAAGAAGCAATTCAATATAAAAATTGCATTCGTTAAAAACAATTGGTAGTTATAGATTTTTATTATTCCCGGAAAAAAACTAAAAAATGAAATTTATTTGTTACCAGTTTTTACTCTTTTCCGTCTCGATATATATGGTCTTTCAGCCCTGTTTATAATAAAAATAATGTGTTTTATTTAATGAGAGACACATCAATAAGTAAACCAATTTCTATGATGGTCTTATCCAGCAAGATCGTTTAACTTAAGAGATAAATTAAAATCAGAAATGGCCAATACCTTTAACAAAAATTTATCTCATCTAAGTTAAATTTTTAATGATAATAATGTTAATATTTTTTTAATGTTAATAGCTCTCTATTAATTGGAATTTAGTATATGTCTTTCTCAAAATAAACATAAAAGAATTCTTCGATATCAAAGAGTAAGATCTGAGAATAGAAAACAATTTTTAATCACAATTTTTAATCTTATTAAGGCCTGAGGTAATTTGAGAGAACCTTTTTTTCTTGTATAAATAGCCCAAAAAGTAAAAAGTGCTAGAAAGGTTATTTTGTTATTTAGGTTTATATCTATGATGGTTGATTTATGCAAATATTGGGATGCTCAATTATGCAGGGTTATAAGTATACAAGTGTTATTTATTATAGGGAGCAAAAATAACCCAGATTAACTTTTTATCTAATGATCGGATCTTTGCGTTCTAGGATTCAATCTTAATGGGTTTTTCTTTGGGGGAGGACCTCAAATATGGTAACCAAGTAGTACAGAAGGTATTTTAAGTGGGGTAATCAGAGATGCCAACTTGCTCCGGACAACAAATAAATGTTTTCGAGTGGTAGTTTATTAATGTATGATTCTTAGTTTAAAAAGTTCAATTTATTAGGTTTTTAACCACGACTATTTTTAAATAATTCGAAAGCTTATATAATTCGACACTTAGTGCTACTTCAGAAGTGCTATACCGTCCTAAAAATAAACAAAATTAGACAATTATTTGCAAATTTTAGTTTGTAGCTGTTTACCGGTTTTTAAATAATTAGGGCTCGTCCGAAGTAGTTGGCATGTCTGGGTAATCATAAACAAAAATGCACTTTCTACGAATAAACATAGCTTTTCTTAGACAGATTCAGATTTCTGATCCTCAAAATATAGGGGGTAGCCGCAATCTAGGAAATATGGTCCCATTAGTTCTGTCAGGAGTGCTATCTAAGGTTACCGCTTAATGTTATTTTTAATTTATGCCTATTTCACCATAACTTTTTGCGCTAGACAATTATATAATTCGTTTATCCAAAGACAATTTCATACAAAAAGAACACTTATAGTAAATATTTATTACTTTTTATTAGTATATTTATTAACAGTGGAAATTTCTTTTTTTTTTAATATTAACGTATACAATTTTTTACATCGTTTTAAAATATGCAATTTTAAATTGGAAAATGCAAAATTTGGGCGTAATCGGTTGAATATTCCAGAGAATTCGATTTCTCATAAACTCTTCGTCTACTTTTGCTATAATTTTTTATTTTTCCTTGTAAAATTATGTTCTTTAAAATAAAATAAAAAATGTATACATTTTTCTTCAAAACCTTTTCGATTATTATTAAATAAAGTAATAAATATTACTAAAAGCTATTTTTTGCGTGGACTTATCTTTGGATAAACGAATTTTATAATTGTGTGCGAATTTTTTCAATTCACTTACTAAGTTCTCGGGACATGGTGAAATACGCAAAAAATGAAATTAATACTAAATAATCCAAACATTGGACCGCTGTCCCGACCAAACTATCGGGACCATATTTCCAAGATTACAACTACCCCCTATGTTTTAGGGGCCAGAAATCTGAATACATCATAAAAAAGGTATGATTTTTGAGAAAAGGTACGTTTTTGTATCTGATTTCGCAACTTAAAGTATCGTCTGCATTAATTAATTAGCATATTTGAGATCACCTTCTCGAACTATTAAGATTGAGTCCTAAAACGTGAAGATCCCATTATTAGACCAAAAGTTATTCGAGGTGGTTCGTTTATTTTCTTCCGTCTATGCCTATGTAAAATAGATATCTTAGTATCAGCCCCGCTAGGAGCTCAAACTAATTCATCTAAGTGAAAATTTGATATAAATCACCGAAGCTTAATTGTATGTGGGAAACTCTCTTCCTCTTGACTTGATAGGAAGATATATAAAGTTTTTATTTTATTACGAGAAGACAAAAAAAGAAGAAATTTCGTTATAAGTTGTCTGCTAGTTACAGAAATAAATACACGATTAAATGCATAAAACAACATATAAAATACTAAGCACTTTTTAATAATTTATGAAACTTAAAATTAACACAAAACACCTAAAAAGAAGTTTTTTTAATTTATTAAAACTTATTTGTTTTAAAATTAATTAAGAATTAATTATTAAAATTAATTAAGAATTAATTATTAAAATTAATTAAGAATTAATTATTTAAATTAATTAAGAAGTATTACCTGTTCAACCCAAACATTCGTCGTCATTATTTGATTCTTGATATTCTGAAATGTAAAAAAATAAAAATCTTTCAAATATAAGAATTATAAATAGGAAAGTACAAGTTACGTCCAAAATTTTTAACAATAAATATGTTCTATAGCATAAAACACCATAATATATAATATACTTTGATTCGAACCTGGGTCACTTCATAGGTAGGCGAGCGATATATCCATTGCAATTTAGTAAGCAAAAATTTTGACATTAAAAAATATCTAGGTGCAACGCTTCTTACTTTTTTCCCCACTTAACAGTTAAATAGCATATGCAGGTACAGTTCGTTTATAATTGATATTATTATCAGATTGTCTTTAATTCATTATAAATCTAAATTAGAATAAGTTATTTGTTGCTAATATTAAGTCTAATTATCTTATAGCTTTCTTATTGCTTACTGCTATATCACCTTATTATGTTTAACTTACAATACACTTTTTTTTTGAAGATTACAATAACAGAATTTTCTATAAGCTTTAAGCTACATTTGGAACACGTATCTTACCTATGCGAAAAAGGAAGACTGATATCAATATCAAAAATAAAACTTTCCCACTTTATTACAATATAAAAAGCTATCAAACATTTTCCAGCATCTCTTTTTCAGTGATAACAGTAGTATGAACATTGAACAGGAGCAAAAAAAAAATCTGTTTTAAAATATTTCAGTGACATATGTGATGTGAAAACGAATAAAGAACTGGTATGGCTGCCTCACGTGTCTTCGTTTCTTCAGTATCCAATTCCGACTTCTTTATTTTGAAAGATAAGTTTTCTGGTACATTTCTGAAGAAAAATGGCTGCAGTAAGAAGAACCCAAGAACCACGATAAATTGCGTTCATTTACCGCAGTACAGAAACTTCTAAAACTTTTACAATAGTGTGCTATATATATATATTTGT